CCCCCTATCCAAATCGTATCTGAATCGTATCTCCCGAAATGCAGAATACGCCAATCGTAGCAGTGAATCGTATCCAAATCGTATCCAAACCCCTAAACCAAAATTATCCCTACATCGGGCCCTGAGGCCTAACTAGAAACTCTTGGGTCTACGTGGGATCTACATTGGGATATTTCATTTTTCGGGACTACCGCATGGCCCATGTGCACTCCCACAACATGAGGCTTCCTAGACGCCTGTACTCTTACAGCCACATGGATGGTTTGTTTCTTCCTGCTCGGTAACGAGTGGCCCTTATAGACCCCTTATAGCAACCCTGAGCCCCAGACCCGCTCGGTAATGAGTGGCCCATATAGACCCCTTATAGTGATCCTAACCCAAACAGACCCCTATAGTATCCTTACACGTAGATCAATGACAGCTACAATCCTTTCGGAAAATCCGTTCTCCGACCTGCCCGAACTCTGGGCGTAGAAACGGCAACATTTCAACCTGCTAGTCTAGTAAAAATCTTGGGTTCAGGGTTTAGAGTCTTTAGAGTTTAGGGGGCGTAACATCAGAGCCCGATGAATATGTTGAGCATTTTCTGTCAGAAGAGATGCAAATCCCATCGCAACAACTCTGAGGCATGCAAGTCGATGTTTACAGCTTCGGAAGTGCCATCTCCGCCTGCGCGACGGGGTCGATGTGGCGTGAGGCGCTCTCAGCACTCGGGGAGATGCAGATCCTAGAGATGCTTTCCGTGATATTATGCTGCTTATATCTACAAGATGATCCCTCAGGACAGAAAGACTCTGCTAGATGAAGTTCAGCAGACCATGAGGATCAAGAAGCCTTTGTAAGCAGACATGCACGATCACAAATCCTAAAGCCCAGGATCTTGCCGAGCATCGTTGCTTGGAACAGCGCCGTCAGTGCTTGCGCTCGCGCGGGGCAGTGGCAGCGAGCATTTCGTCTTCTGGGAGACCTTGAGGGCATGCCCATTGAAGCTGACGTCGCTTGTCAACTTGGAGGTTCATGGGTAGTTATTTGTGGGGTTATAAGCAGGGTAGCTGTAATTATAACCCATATTAGGGGATTTATGGCCCCATTTATAATCGCCCATGAACCTCCAAGAAGGGCTGGCGTAAGGAGTATGCTCCGTAGTCGAAGTACCGTAGACCGCTGAGATCAGTCAACCTCGTCCTTTATGCGTAGTACAGTCGCCTTGAAGAAGAGGGTTTGGGGTACACTATGCTGTAAATATCATAAGAAACTCCCCAAACAAATACTAAAGGTATTTTATTTAGGCCCGTACTGTAACTGTAGGGGGACCCCGTCTTTCCCACGTCTTGGCAACATCCACGGACCGCAGGGTCTGCAGACTTGAACCCGAAGGCTCCATGTACCCATACAGTATAGGTAGTTCTCCAAATTAGGGTCCCTTTCTAAATTTGTTAGGCCCTAGGCCCCCAGAATAGTAGGGCACTCTTGTAGAGAGGACCCTAAAAGCGACCTTAATTTAGACAACTACCCATATAGTATCTCCTATGTAGGTACTTTCAGGCCTACGTCTCTACTATGTAGGTGCCTTATGGGGATCGTGGGACTGGTGGAGCTGCTCGCTGGCTTGTCTGATCTGCGCAAGACGAGAAGAGACGATAAGTGCGATCCAGCTCAGGGGCCTAGTAATTGTTTGGCGATGAACTTCAGAACCGACGTTTGTAAATCCTTTTCGGCGGGAGGTCGCTTCGAACATCAGGGGACAGGATTACAAGGCTTCACACTGCTCGTGCTCAGGTGGTCACCTACAGCTCTGTCATGAAAGCTTGCGACATGTCCAGCCAGTGGCAGTTGGCCCTTGCGTTGCTCGGGTGCCTCGCTGCGAAGAAGAAGCATTTGCACGTGTTGTGTTTTCAGTCTGCTTCGCAGCTATCACACTCCGTGCGACCATGGCATGTTAGCATCCTCTGTCGTCACGCGAATATCCTACTATTACGACTTGCGTGCCTAGAGCGTGGAGAGAGGGCAGTGCGCATCCATCAGTCTCCGCAGGCCGATGCTTAGGAACATGGAACATGGCCAAGGCTGCGTGATGCCTTCTCCCGCTGCTGAGGTCGCTGAGACGGCAGGACGTCAGAGCCAACCTGGTTGCTTTCAACACAGCCATCAGTGCCTGTGCAGCTCCGTCGGCATGTTGCAATCGTGGTTTGGGGCCCATGTTGATTGTGTGGCTAAGTGCAGTAGTTTTAATGTGGCAGTCTCGTGGAAAGCCAGCGGACCTGAAATCCCAAGACAGTGCAGTGGAAGCAGCTGAGAAGGTATCCGACCGCTGGGCTCTCGCCGTTCACATGCTACAGGAGTCCTAAACCCTAAACCCTAAACCCCAAACCTAAACCCTAAACCCTAAACCCTAAACCGTTTGCAGGAGTCGATCGCTCAAGCAATGTGCCCAGATCCGTTCAGCTTGGCATCGGCTCTGGATGCATGCCACATGCCTGCATTCGGCTTTGGGTTTAGGGTTCAGGGTTCAGGGTTTAGGGTTTAGGGTTTAGGCTTGGTGTGTCTCAGGGTCTAGGCTAAGTCTACGCTCTGAGGTCTCGGGTCCCGGTATTCCGGGCGAAGTATCGACACAAAATAAAGCTTTCTTGGGTTCGGGGAAGTTGGCTACGCCTCACAGAATACGGACGTCAGTCCGCTATAATGAGGACCCCCTTTCCCTCACCATTGGGGTGTTTTTGGTCTGTCTTGGGGGTCTGGGGGGTACCTCCTGCGGCTATAGGGTTCAGGATCGATAGCCCTAAACCCTGAACTAAACCGATAAGTAATTCCTTCAGAGATTTCGCGTGCTCTCCTTGCTATTGGTTATGGGAGGGCGGGTTTGACTAGACTGGGCTGCTGGGCCCCCGAGGCCTGCTGCAACAAAGAGGATCCATACAGAAACGGCTATACCTATAGTCTCCATTCTAGTTCCTTTTTTGGGATACCTTATAAGATCCTTAATATAAAAGTTGTGAAACCAAAAAAAGGAACTACAATNNATGGAGACTATAGGTAGGTTTGGATCCTTAGTCGCGCTGCCAGCAGCCAGAGGTAGCGCGGCAGAGGACTGGCCCTTGGCCCTGAACTGCCTGCGCGAAGGAAGGATTGGAGCAACAACTCCTTGCTGGAATCTCGGCGGCGTGCTAGGGCAGTTTGTTTTTTTTAGTATGATGTAAATTTTGTAAGAGGAAATAATGAAATAACACAAACCCTGTTTTTGAAGGACCTCCAAGAATAGCCCGGGCCCAGGAATGCCATGATCAAGGCAGCTGCTGAGACCGGCGGCTGGACGATGGCGGTGCATCTGTTGCAGCGGATGCCGGCAGACCAGCTGCAGCCGAACATCATGACCTCTCGGTAGCTGAGTAGATCAGGTAGCCTTTAGAGCTTTTGCTTCGGGTATTAAGGGGTGGGGGTGCTGTGCGCATAATCCAGCCAGCAAGCCCAGATATTACTAAGCCCGACCCCAGAGCCCCGTTGGGTGGTCAAGGGCATGTACAACATAACTAGAACCGTTTGTTTTGGTAAGAAAGTTTGACTCCGAAGCACTCAAAACCCTGAACCCTAAACCACAAAGGCTAAAATGACTTGGTTAGGCCCGTTTGAGCTTGAACCCTAAACTACCAGAGCACGAGAAAGAGGACTTCGGGCAGCACCTTGAAGGCTGCAGAGCGGTCTTCAGAGTGGGACGTAGCCCTCTTCCTCCTCGTTACCAGCATTCCGCAGAGGTGGCTCGGCTGCCACCCCTATCGATTTATATACTTATGTCAACTTTTTTGTTGCAATGTGATTTATTGTATTGTGGTGTATTAAGTTCTTTTTTATCATACGACATAGTATGAAAGGTTACTATGTCGGATTATGCTTTTGGTATGGTATTATACTATACTAGACTCTAGTGTACCGTACTATATACATGTATGTATGTATGTAT